ATGTCAACATTTTCCCGCCGGTCAAATATTGTTTTCCTCCTCAAGTTTTTGTGACTCTGCAATAATGGATTAACTATGATTACGACGTCGACTGGTGGAAAATTTATTCAGCAAATTTGTTTTACCTTAAACGTGGATAATGTTATCGCTGGCAATCTTCTAATGCCGTATCGTTCGTGTTCCCATGCTAATAAATCATCGGCTAAATTAATTTTTTTGTGAACCATTTGTACGTTATTTTCTCCAGCCACGTTAATCAAGTGCTGGTGAAAAATTCCCCTGGAACTATTTTCTTTTGGAGGTTTCGATACATGTAAATGTATTGTAGAATTAGTTGATAATGAATCTAAGCACAGTACAAAAGCAGCATCTTGAATCAGAGAACTTTCTAATCCGTCAATTTGATCCTCCAGCCATTTTTTACTACCGAGAAAATTAAATTTTCCAGCTCCGGATAAAAGGAAAAGAATATTGTATGAGGCATGGGTTTTAGGGTTAGAATACAAGGCAGAAAATATTCTGGCCAATTCTAAAAGTGCTGCCACACCAGAGCCATTCGAATCTGCACCAAATGACAATTCCTAAAATGTATTTATTTATTTATTATAAATATTTCTTATTCGAACTTGTAAAAAAAAAAGTTTTCAAGTACTTACTGGTGCAACTCCGAAACTATCGTAGTGAGCTACCAAGGCAATAGTGGGTAAATTTTCTTCGATTCCTTGGCCAGATAATTTTCCTTGAATGTTTGATATATGTACATCATTTTTAATAGCTGCCTGATTAGTATTTATAACTATTTGATAGCCATTTGCTGAAATAGAATTGAAAAAAGCTTCAGCACCTGAAACGGCCTTTTCGACTGCTTTCGAAAATGAAACATCATCTAAAATATTTTGGAGTTCAGGCGTCCAAAAAGCAAAATACGTTGGAATAAATAATTCTTGAGATAATAATTCATCTTCTATTTCTACCAATTGCTGAAAATAATAAGATAACAAAAATTTAAGAATGTAATTATTATGCGTAAACAAATAAATAAGTCGAGATTTTAAGTTTTACAAATAATTTTACCTGCTGTACATCAGCAGAAGGCAGACTCATATCTTCAGGCAAAACAATAAATAAAGCACCTGCTTTTGACCTAATTTCTCTCATGTGATACGAAGTTATATCTTGCAACCTTGTCAAAACGCAATGCCTGTTTGTACTCCAACCAGTCAATGATCTGGCTTCTAAGTTAACTGAAGAACTTCTGCAGCCTGTAATTAAAGCATTTTAAATTAATTTTAGAAAAGAAACAAAAAGATTTTTTTTTTTATCAAAAAAATTTTTAATTTCATTGTTTGACTATCATGTATTACAAAAAAAAAAAAAAAATTATAATGTTAAATTAAAATTTTAAAATTACTTCATTTTTTATGCTAATGAATTCCTTACCATGAGGCAAACCATGTAAATCGTACTGCTGCATTCTATAGACTGGGAACTCATGTGCCGCTCCAACAGGACTAACAGGTGAAATTATTATAAATAAAGGTAAAATAATTAACAAATAATACAGAAAATATCCTTTAAAAAAGTCACTAAATTCACTAACGTCTTCTAACCACATTTTTATCGAATTATTAAAATTATTTTAATACCCGATAAAAAATAATAATTTAAAAATTACTAATTAAATTTAGAACTAATATCGTATTTAAAAAAAAAAAAAAAAAAAATTTTTTTTACGAAAAATAATTCCGGATTTTCTGATTAAAATGCACAAAAAATAAATAATGTACAATTTACAGAAGTAAATATCGGTAAAAATTGATTAACTCATTCACTAACTTAAAATTTTTAACAATTGACGTGCGAACTCGCTCATCGCAAAATTGTAACTCACGAAGTGTTTAAATTAAATTCGCGTCTATGGTTTGTCGTGTCATTAGCGATTGAATTTTTTACATGAAGAACCTGTTTATTGAATTTGGTTCGTAAGTTGTTTACGATTTGTACTTTCAAAAAATTTAAACAATATTTAAAATAATTTTTTTTCTTTATCGCGAGTTTTATTGTTTAATAAA